CTGTTGACTGTCACTTAAGACACTTGTCTTCGGTGTGTCGCTGCCGGGAACTGTGGTATTTGCAGCACTAGTTACCTAATCTAAATATGCCACATGCATATTTAAAGATGAAAAAAACCTAGCCAGCAAACCAGGCACCCCCACCCTCCCACCCAAATCAGCCAGCCAGGATTTAAGGCCTTTATGTTACCCACTATGGGGAAGCCCATGGCCGGATGCCTTCACATCCCGCCTGGGCCTTGACGTGTTCTAGGCGTGGGGATGGGCGAGCGCTGCTTGCCTTTCCAGCAGGGCAGCGACCCAGGAGAGGCCGCTGGCTCGGGAGCCGCGGAGGAATTCCCACGCCTCTGCCCATCGGCATCTATCTCAAAGGATCCCACTGCTAGATTTCAGCTTGCCGCTCATCTTCCACTTTAAATCACTGCCACTCCTGGACGACAAAGTCACACATTGTTTGAGGGAGGGAGATGGGGGCTTGAAGGCTTGCTAGACAGGCCCTTTATTACCATGCCTCTCTAGCTCTTTTTTCACCCATTTTTTTTAATGTAACTTTATCGTTACTCTTAAGGTGTTGTGCATTATTTCTGAAATAGGGTCTCACTTCCACTATGCCCAGCTCTTTTGTTGAGATGCAGTCTCATGGACTTTCCAACCCAGGAGAGTTTGGAACTATTATCCTCCTGATCACAGCCACTCACACAGCTAGGATGCCACCTCACACCACTGAGGGTTGAGAAGCTATGCCCATGGCTGGCCTCAAACCACAATCCTCCCGACATCAGCCTCCTATGCAGACAGGATCACATGCATGAGACATCCTGTCCAGTCTAAGATCTTAAAACTTTATGCCACTGATAACCAAGGTTACCACCACCTTATAGATTTAGGACAGAAAGGAAACATGGTGATGTGGCACCTGATGCATTCGTGTCTCTATGACTCCTCCACTGGTATAGCAGCAGGGCTGTTCCTGGGTAAACCTAGAGCCTGACAGAGCAGTATAAACAGCACCAGAGGCAAAGGAGGCAACCCCACTGGAGGAAGCTCTTATTGGACTGGAGACAGCATTTGTCCTCATGATAAGCAAGGGCAAGCACATAAAATAATACAAAAGCCACCCAAATTTTCATAAATTGACCCAATCCTCTTCCACGTCACTGCTGAGAGCACTAGAGGGACTCGCGAGCCATGCTGGCACCGGGAAGGACAGATGGGCTGGCAAAGCCTCCCCGAAAGACCTTCGGAGGCCTAATTATTAACCGTGGTGCACAGAGACACAGAAGCTTGGGTTTTCATGAGGTGTTGGCTTAAATGAAGGAAGAAATGAGGCCTTGCACTGGGTAAAAATGACACCAGCTTCTCCATAGTGCCTCCATTTGTCAAGATGACAACTCCTCCCCCCGATCACAGGCAGCGACTTGAAAGCTATGAGAATCCATGTGTGCAAGGATTTTATCTCATGACACAGGTAGTCACATCAGGGTCACCAGACACACAAGAGAACAAACATGTGCAGAGTGCACTTGCATACACACACAGAACAAACATGTACAATGTGTATGCGTGCGCACGCATGCATGCACGCACACACGCGCGCGCACACACACACACAAACAGTGCTACAGAGAAGCACGGCATTCACATCCATCAGAAACCCGCTACTCTGCCTTGCAGCAAAAATCTTAATCAGGTTATAAATCGCAGCCCGATTACTATGCATGGAGTCACTTCAGCAAGTGTCGCATTCTTAAGTAACAAAATATAGTTCACGTGCTCAGATTTTTAAAATTCTTTCTTCAGAGGAAACATGAATAGACAACCAAGGCCTGTATCTCCAGGTCTATGGGACTTGGGGTTTTGTTTTTATAAAAAGAAAACAAATACAAAATGCAAAGGGGCCTGTGGCACATATGACAATCCGCTCCTGGGCGGCTGGACACAGTGTCAGGGATGCTGTGCCCTGTCAGAACCACGCACACACAACCGCATACGTAGCATATATAAAATTCTCTCCGTTTTCCAAGACAAAGCTCTATGGTGATGGTAGTAGCACTACCCCTTTTGAGTACACATGCTCTGTGCGGAAATGCCCCCATAATTTAACCACACCACCACCCTGAGGTCATCCCCGATCTCTTGCTTAGAAACGTGCAAAGACAGGCTGGGAGCAAAGGGTTAAGTTACTTAAGCCACAGCTGTGGTCTGATGGATCTCCCTCAGCTGCTGTCTAGATTCTCTGACATGGAACCACAGCACGCAGATTCTGCAAGTGCCGTGGATGCACAGCCACCAAGCTGCCAGCGTGGGGCAGGACAGGTGGAGACGGAAAGGTGTGGACCAGAGGTCTGGGATCTCTGGGGTGGGGGGAGACTCTGCTGTCCACACACCCTGCACACGGTGAGCAGGTGCTACCAAGATGGCAGGCAGCCTGCCCTCCTGTCTTCCTCATCAATCGTTTCTCTGGCCACACTTCTCATAGTGTGAAAGCCTTCTACTGCAGACAGCCGGTAAGTAAACACTGGTACTGAGAAGGAGAACACCACCATGGGTAAGACAACTCGAGAGACCTGGTGTAGCTCCGTAGTACAGTGCTTGGCCTAGCTTGTATGAAGCCCTGGGTTCAATTCCCACTACTGCAACAGACCAAAGAGGGAAGCGACCAAGGACTTTGCACTTGGCTTTGAGCACACTGTGGAATATGGACTGGGGAGGCGGCAGCCTCTGCTGAAGCAGAGTGGGATGGGGCTACGGAGGCTGTGTGAACAGGCTGCACACCTGGCAGCCAGGATATGCACGGGAGCACTGCTGCACAGACCGCTGCATGAGGGAGCCCAGAGCAGGATCTCTTCTTCCCCGTCACCTCCTCAGACTTCAGAAGTTCAGAATGTCTCACCTCTCCTCTCCCCCGTCCAGCCACAGCACCGAGCATGGCAAGAGAGCAACGACATTTACAGAAGATTCTGCTAGAAACAGGGCCCCGGGTGCCCAGGCCTGTCTACGCTGTGCTGTCACCGACTGTCATCCTTCTGACTCTGTTTTCCTCCAAGCAGCAAATAGATGGCTCAATTAGTTATTCTTGATTACCTTCGTTATTTCTGAATCAGGGTGACTCATTCACTGGAATTCGGTTAGGCAGAACTCGATTTCTAAGAGAAGCTGCTGCGCCCACCATGGTTTGGCTAATGTGCACAGCCAGCAACCAGCCAATCTGTAATGATAGGTGTGCCTATTGGCAGCACTCTGCCAGACCAATGAACTATTTTTAACACAAAAAAAGGCCAGGGCTGGGGTGAAGCATGGGGCCAAGGGTTGAGACTGCTAACAAATGTTAAGTTCACGTTATTTCTAAAAACTTCAAGCCACTCCCACATTTTACATAGTCATTATCCACTATAAAAGGAACTTTTCCTTTCTACAATGTAAGCACCTATTTTCCTAAGTTCCTAAGAGACTGAAAACTAGGTAAAAGTCATCATGAGACATGCTTGCAGACTGCCATAGGACGAGGCAGGAGATCCCGCAAGACACATGTGGCCTGAAGTCTCAGGGCACTGTCTTGCAGTGCAGTTTCTGGGTGAAAAGCAGCCGCCTGAACCCCATATTCAGCTGCCGCACCCACTCTTCCCTGCAGCCCTTGGAGGAGCCATCAGCCCCGGGCCAGGCCTGCTCCAGGGGGTGTCTGTTCATCTCCTGATTCAGACTTCTATAGTCCACAGCCAGAAAGATGGAAAAGAGTGGGAACACTTTGCGAATCCCTTACAATGTATTTTTTTTTTGTCAGTCGTGGGGCTTGAACTTTGGGCCTCGGTGCTGTCCCTCAGCCCTTCAGCTCACAGCTAACACTCTACTTGAGCCACAGCCACTTCTGGTCTTCTGAGTGGTTTATTGGAGATAAGAGCCTCATGGACTTTCCCTACCCAGGCTGGCTTTGAACCGCAATCCTCAGATCTCAGTCTCCTGAGTCACTGGCGCCTGGCCCTTACAATGTATTTCTATCACATGTTCTAAGTCTATCCCATCATTTTTTAAAAATTATTATTACTTTTTCCTGTCATTCCTGGGTCTTGAACTCAGGGCCTGGGCACTGTCCCTGAGCTTTTTAGCTCAAGGCTAGTGTTCTACTACTTTGAACCACAGCGTCACTTCCGGTTTTCTGGCTGTTAATTGGAGATAAAGAGTCTCACAGCTGCCTGGGCTGGCTTCAAACTGTGATTCTCAGATCACAGCCTCCTAAGGCTGATAGGTGTGAGCTACTGGTGCCCTATACTACCCCTTCATTTCTAAGTGGCACTGATCACTTTCTGGGTCTTATATGTCTAGTCATGGTCATTAAGTTGGGAGAATTTTTAAGTGACCTGTGCCCAGAGAACAAACATGAAAATAAGATAGATTACACCCCCAGTGCCCCATGACCACTCAGGCCCCAGTGTGCTGGTTACCAAGTAACCCCATGGGTGAAGTCTGTGCAGGGCCTTGAGCTCCTCCCTGCAGTCACGGCAGTGATACACTGCTTGCAAGGGTCTGCCAGCAGTTCAGGGGTGTCTTTCAAATCTACTACATTGCTGCAGCCACCCAAACCCTCACCGTGGACCGCCAGCCTTGTGTCCTCCCATGACTGAAGGAAAGGCAGTGGCTTGTAACAAACTGTTCTCCAGCGCCCCCTTTCCCAAAAGGCCAGGAACACGAGCTTCAGTGAAGGGAACTTGTTCAGATTTTTCAAACATTCATTTCACATGGATTTGTGCACAGGCTCATCACAATCCCCAAGACTACAGCACCGGTGGCCTGGGAGAGCTATCAGCGCCGCAGCGCCGTGCCGGCAGGGCCGGTCTGTCTGTCTGTGCAGCGCAGACTCGTGGGCCAACTGCCTCTAGCCCCAAGTCCTTATCTCATATCACTTCTATTTTTTCGATTAAACGTCACCCGTGCCGCAAGACTTGGGGCCTGTCAAGTGTTCTGTTGCCAAGACTCTGTCTGTCAGAAAGGTCAGCGGCCAGTACCTTCCAGTTGGGTCCCAGTGGGCCTCTCTTGGTCTTGGCTGACTGGAATAATGCAGGGTCTTCATCAGCTTTGTAGTCCTGAAAAACAAAACAAGAGTCAGAGGCAGAGAAGAAAACGAGAACATTCTGGAGTCTTGCAGGACAGCTCATGGCAGGTACTGAAACCCACAACAGAAAGTGGTCAGGAGGACCAGGCTCCTGCGTGCAAACGGCAAAATGCTTCCACGCAGTGTTACCCTGGTAGCAGCACGCGATGCTAAGCAGGGAAGGTCTCTGCAGCACCCCGGCTATATTCGGAGACTGTGATAGGAGCCAAGCCTGCCCACGCCACTGAGGACAACCGTGTCTGCAGTGACCAAGTGCAGTCAGGATGATTGGGCATGCCTGACCCCTTCTAAGGCTGTGTCCGTAGACATCTCAGCTGCTGGCCAGCCTGGAGCCATCGGCCATGGAGCGCCAAGGGCTATGGAAGAGTTCCTCAGAGGAGAGGGAAGGCATTCCTACCAGGCCCTCACTACCAAGGGAAAACAAGGAGTCTCAGGCTGCCTTTCAGGGAATGGCCCTGAAATTTACATTTAAAGCAGTAACTTCTCTTTCCCTCCATGTCCTCTGGGAGTCAACCTTTAACCTCTCTGCTTTATAAATATTCTCCAGTGCGCGCGCACACACACACACACACACACACACACACACACACACACACACACACACACACACACACACACACACACACACACACACACACGTGCCTGCCTTTTTTCAAGTTGATTCTCTGAGCTGGGACTCAGCATCACTTTTGAAGGGACCACATACTTGGGGAAAACATCCAGACAAGTCTGATAGAAAGCCCTGGCTAAAAATCACTGTTTGAGAGAGATAAGAATAGTTCAAGCATGGAGCACACACTGAACAAGCTCTCAAGTATAAATACAGACGTTTGCAAATCAAAGACAACACGCAAAGCGGCAGCCTCTCATGACACACGTTCCCCAAGAAATGAGTATAACATGCTAGCGGGGAAAGAGTTAGAAATAATGTGAAGGGGGCGGGGGGGGAACAAAAGTGCGATTTAAGGAGAAAACCAAACCTTAAAGAAAGATAATTGGGAAACAGATGACCTTGAACTAACTTGAACTAAGTCTGTGTGAAGTCTGTCGAAGAAGCTACAAGATGGGGTTGGGAGGCATAGGGGGAACGTTGGAAGGGGGTGACTGACCAGATACATTGTACTGATGAACTAACATGCAAAATGAAGCCTTTGAATAATAATAATAGCAATAATAATAATAAAGAAGCAAGAAGGGCCAGGCTTATTTCACAAGGTCTTGATGCATGGATGTATGCACGGTGGCACGGCCACGGGCAGGAGCTGCTGGTCAGCGTTTCCCCCACCAGCCAAGTGGGAGGAGCAGCTAGCTACCAGGAGCCCCCAGGCGCAGATGTGTCTGGGCACGACCATGCAGAGCTTAGTCACTGCCTGCCAGCACACATTTGTCAGTCCCAACTCACAATGGCCGCCCTAAAGCTTTAACCACCTCACTTCTGAGTGAGAAAAGAACCCTGTGCAAGGCCGGCTCAAGACGGCTCTGCAATGAACGCCAACCCAAAGAAATTCCCAAACCAGTTCTTCTACATCACAGGTCAAGGCAAAGCTCAAGGACAGGCTCACTTTTCCCAAAAGTAAAAATGAACCGCGCATCACAATCTCTTGGAACCTAGATGAGACCTGAGTGGGGGTTTGAGGAGCCAGAGCGGAAGGAGGCTGGCCAGGGGAGGAGCCAGAGAAGGAGGCCAGCCAGTGAAGGTGTGTGTGTGTGTGTGTGTGTGTGAGGGGCGGGGTGTCCCGGGCCTAAAAGGGCAGTAGATTTGAGACACACAGACAAACAAACAAGACTCACTAAACCAGGAAGCTCATGTTTATCAACTGCCAACGAACCAGACAAAGGAACACATTTTAGAAACCAATATAAAATAGTTCTTGAAAGCAGGACCATCTTATGGTTAGGATTACATTATGGCTAAAATATTTTAAAGATTAAACAAATTACTGTTATAAAGCGCAGGAGGTTAGCCACGGTTACCCATTTTATTCTATTTGAGGGAAAAACCTTCTGCCCTTTCTAGCTGACTGGGTGTCTGGCTGCTGGGGCGGGGCGGGGCTCCCTCCCCTCCCATCCTGGTTTGTTTTTACCACTGAAGGCGGAAGAGGAGAGCAGGGAAGAGAACAGAAAACAGCCCACTTCCCTCATCTGGGAGGCCATCGGTTACAGGCTGTGCCATTAAGGAAAACACGGAGCTGACAGAACATGTCATCACGGAAAGGCAAATTCTGATCCTGCCTTTATTAAAATATGAAGGGAAAAGAGCGGACTGGAATTTTGGAATGGATCATGTACGAAGACTGTGAATTTTAAACCTGGCCCATTTCAAGAGAAAGAAAGAAAACTGGCACGATACATATAACTACCAGCAGGGCTAAAAGAACAGAACCAATGCCGTTAAGCAAGAGTGTTATACAAATAACCCAATGATGACTAAGGCGGGCGTAGGTTTTGTTAACCAAGGCGCCCATGACCCCGGGAGCCAGGCTAAGCGCGGCACCAGTAGAGATCTAGCTGCTAGCTAGGCTGGAGCCAGGCATCTGTGACAGACAGACATACTGACGAACCTACTGTGTGGCAAAGCACCTCTGCACAATTCTGGGCCCTTGTATCAGTGCAGGTGAGGCAATGGGGGGCACGTTCGGAGGTGTGGGATCATGGAATCATGGGGACACCAACTCCTCTCACAGATGAGGAGGGGACAGCCTGGCGGGGAAGTGCAATGCCCCCCCCCTTTCTTAGGGAGTCTGGAATTCACATTGCACATCACACAAGAGGACTGCAGGGCTGGGAAGGTGGCTCAGTGGTAGAGCGCTTGCCTTGCATGCCTGAGGCCCTACATTCGATTCCTCAGCACCACATAAGCAAAAAGAAAAGAGGCCAGAAGTGGCGCTGTAGCTCAAGTGGTAGAGCGCTAGCCTTGAGCTGAAGAGCTGAGGGACAGCGCCCAGGCCCAGAGTTCAGGCCCCACAAATGGACCCCTAAAAAAAAAGGACCACAAAGTGCCCATGAATTCCAGGTCATCGACATAGGTCAACCACCTCACAGCCATGTAAGCAAGCTGGCCGGCCTGTAGAGCAGACGCACAGGTCCAATACAGAATACAGGACACTGAGTCTTCCCCCAGTGCTGTTCTTGAACACAAAATAGGAGCCTGTTACAGACATTATCCTGGAAGTATCATACAACCCTGTCATCAACCACTGTATCTGAACCTTCAGCAAGCAGTGGAGCTATGCATCTGTCAGAACCTAGGCATTTCTGGGCTTGTGTGAATTTGAAGACATAAACGTTTAATCAGATGAATTAGTAACAGGATATATAGAAAGGCAGCTCGTGGGTACAGCCAGCTCAAGCACCATTTGGTGTCCACAACGAACACAGAACTTTTTTGAACATTGTCTTGTTTTGCTGCAATTTGATGGTGGTGCACCTAGTCAGCTTTTGCCTTGTGTGGATTTCAAACCGTCCCAGGGTTATATCAATATCACAAGGAACAAATATACTCCTGCACGTATGACAGTTTCAGCATACAGAATGCAACCTCAGCTACCAATTATAGCTGCAAATGAGCAATCGAGTGGAATGAGACAGCCTGCTGGCTTTGTTAGTGTTCTGTCTCCTCCGGGGTCCCGGGGGAAAGGGAGGCTCTGATGAGGAAGGAGCCCTTGGCTCCTGGTTTATTGTGCTCGCCACCAGCTGCAGACTTCTCATCTCATTAGTTCTCTTAGAATACTGTGGGCGAAGACAGCTGCAGCCTCCTCGGGTCTCCGGCTCCTGGGTTTTCTGAAGGCTGCATTGGCCATGCACTCTCTGTAATCCTTGGGAAAACGAGCAAGCACATTCACTAGGCCACAGAAATGCCTATGTAAAATGGGCTTTAAAATCATGTTTAAAAGGAGAAAAATGCTATTGCTAGGATACACTGGGCTCAAGTTTTTTTTTTTTTTTATGATCCAATTTTAATTATCTGTATAATGCCCAGAGGCTTGGCCAGGATGAGGGCCGAGGAAAAGCATCGTTATCAAGTTAGGTCTAACATCCCAATGTCCCTAGACACTACTTGCTCCACCAATAACAATGTCTCAACAACATGAAAATACAAAGGCATCAGCATAAGCTAGACTTGGGTTAGTGCTAATATGATTCTATTCCATCAGAAGCACTGATTTAAGTTTTAAAAAAAAAAGCCAAGGCAAGTGCAAGTCAGGTTACCCTTTGGAGAAGAAAATAAAAACATGATATGGTCAATAAACGGGTTACTGAATCTGCATGCTGCAGCTGGAGAATACATTCATGAGATTCGTATAAATAACGTTTGCCATCACTGGAGTCGGAAAGTCGCGTTACCTCTCGGGTATGCATCTGCTATTCAGCCCAGCTCTCAATGGAGGGGCTCAACAGAAACCGCATTCATTCTCAAGACAAACAATATTCATTCTATGAATCTTTCAGCACAGTGGCTGATTCCGCCCCCCCCCCAAACGCATGTGCAAAATCTGTACTGGGCCATCGTATGCATGTCCCTGAGCCCAGACTGAGCTCATGATTATGAATGGGGAGGGAGTGGGAGGCGAGAGGCATGCTGGGAGAGGGTCTTGACAGCTTGTGAAAATCGAGAGGAGCTCCAGACACCAGAAGCTGCTGAAGGAAGCACACAGGGGGGTTACCACAGGTGAAAAGTGGAAAAAGTGGAAGCCAAGGAGAAGATCACTCAAGGCAATGGCGCTCATGACACCTGTCCCCCCCCCCACACAGCCGCCCAGTCCCCAGCAACAGAAACTTCATACACATAAAAACTTGACAGGGCTACTAGGACCTTTAGTAGGCTCTTTCTGGAGAGTAGATGACTAGCCCACAGCTGAGAAACAAAGCCCAGGATGGGAGAAAAAGCACAATCAAACACGAAGATAAACAACAAACACAATCCACTAGCAAGGCCCTGCATTTCTTCAGTACTGTGGCACTTGGAAGAAC